TTGCTTTATGCTGAGCAGCAGGCAGCTTAAAAGATTGATATGTAGCTCCCTCTAGTGGTAAGCTCTAGCTTGTCAGGATGAATAAACCCCTGCAGTAAAGACTTTGAGTGACTCTAAATGGGTAAAAACCCTGCGTACAGTGAGCACCTTTTTAAATCTCATGGTCATCTGGAGGTGATGAAAGCAAAAACAAAATATGAATTACATAAAGAAGAATCTTCAGGGTGAACAAAAAGGAACAACATGTCATTTAACATCACATAAGATTATGATATTTACAGCTATTAACAATTTTTAAACACATTTCACTCCATTCATCAGTCTGCAGGTGGATATAACTACTATTCTGGGTTAAAAAAATCAATGCAGTTACAGTAGTTTAACAGTAAATACTGAATTATGTTTAACACAACTCAGTACTTGAAGTTCCACATGATAAAATTGTTGTACTTTTGTTTTTTGTATTCTGTGTGCAAAATCATCAAACATGATGAGTTTTAAGTTCAGAGATAAAAAAAAAAAAGTTTCCAAAGCTGAAGATCAACTTGTGACTCCTGATTGATATTGTATTACCGTGTTACTGCAGTATTGTTCCCTGCAGGTTTGTGTGAGTTATGTTTGTTAACAGTTATGTCCTGCTGCTGCTCGCTCCTCTCTCCTTCACTCTTACCGACTGTTTAAGATCCTAAATGATATTTGATTCTCTGCTGCTTGGTATTTCTACTTGTTAATTGTTTATGAATTACACCTGATTCTTAGATATATCTACAAGCAGCAACAATCACAACTGGTTGTAGAAAAAAAAAGTTTCAAGTGCAAAAAGCAACTTGTTTTGATGCGCACAAAAAATGACCAACATATCACACAGGGAGAAGTGGTACGAATATATAAACACTAAGAAAATAAATTCAGTCAAATTAGAGAATAGAGCACTGATTTTAAAACATCAGAAATCAACAAAGTGATATACAAAACACTGAAATGCAAAACAATATAAACAACAATAAATACAAGGTGAGAAGACATCACTCATTCAAAGTTAAAAGCAAAGGAATAAAAAATGATTTTTTAACTATTTTATAAAACAGGCAGTGAGGGGTCATCTTAACAGGGTCAGGAGCCATAACTGAAAAAGTCATTCCTGGTCATTCAGTCAAATCTTTGAAACGACTCGTACCACCTTTTCTCACTTTCCAGCAGTCCCTGTGTTGATGTTACCGTCTGGTTGTTATCAAAGAGAGTTATGTCATTATTTTCTTCTTCTGTCTGTTCACTTCCATCGTTCATGTGGTCTACAAATACAGATAAATGACACAGTTACCATTCATATAAATATTTACTACACTTGGATTTTGTTTGCTGTAATCTGGGAATTAAGTGTAAATAGCTTTTTTAATAATAATCATAAATATGATTAAGAGAAAAAAATATGAATAAGAGAAAATTAAAACAGTATTATTTCATTTTTACTGAAATAACAAACACATGTCTGAAACTATAATGAAGTTCTGAGTCAGTTTTAAATATAGTCCTTGATGGGTCTGCCAGGGGCTCCTCTTCAGTCATTTTTCCTTTTGTTTTTAATTCCTTATATGAGGTTTTCCTAGTATTATAAAATATGTTGACTAGATGATTTTTAAATTTGAAAACACAGATCAGCATTAGTTTAAATCACAAAAATGAATCATCGATACTTAAATTTTACCTTCAAAGTTTAAAGGGTTGAAAGGTTATCCCAGTATTTTCAGTACAGAAGAAATCCCCATGAAACATTAAGGTTCTAAGTATGAGCTGACACATGAGGATACTGACAGTGTAGTGTCACAGAAACTGGATGTTCTCATATAAAGTTTGATAAAGTGAGTAAAAGGAAAATCTAATCTTACATAAAAACAAAATTGTCCAGCAAATATACATAACCACTACAGCATGAATGATACAGTGAACAGTGGATATAATATGCATGGTTATATTGTCTGACAAGATAAAAAGTAAAAACAAAATCTAAAACTGGTCATGAGTAGATCAAAAATCAAGCAATACAGAGATTTTTTCCCTTACATGTGAGTCATTATTACCTGGAACATCTATGTGTGTCTCTGTGCTCTGTTTGGTGTTCCTCTGTTCCTCTGTATCAAATGACATATAAATTTACTCCTACAGTGTATTGATTTCTTATTGCAGATAACATTGACAATAAAAAAAAGAATTTCTGACTCACCAATTTGCTTCTCCTTCAGTTTCCATGTAACAAACATCACTATAATACACATCAAGAAAGCTGCTCCAACGCCGATAGAGCTAATTAATGTAGAGTGACTGATGTGTTCACCTTAAAGGACAAAACAAACCATCATACACTGGATTAGAGGAAGTGTGTGTGATTTTACCACTAGAGGGAAAAATGAAAGTGACAAACATTTTAAAGTTAAAATAATGGAATAGATTGTTTCTGAATGTGAGTCATACCTGGAACATGTATGTGTGTCTCTCTGCTCTGGTTGGTGTTCCTCTGTTGGACTCTGCAGGTGATGTTGTTGCTGTGTCTCTTCTCCACAGTCACTCTGCTGCTGACAGTATAGAGGTCATCAGGACCTCTGAGGGTCTCTGTAGGTCCAGCAGAGAGGAGGTTTCCCTCACCGTCCAACCACAGCAGCTCAGGCTCTGGATACCAGCCTGCAGACTCACACTGTAACACCACCCTGCTGCTGACATTTGACATCACCTTTATGACGGGTGTAGAGGCTGACCCTGATAAGAGCAAAGAAGGCATTGCTAACTCTTTTCCACCTATCATACAGCTTCTTTATACTTTAAATCCGGTTTGTTTAAATGTTTTGACTCACCAACAGTGAGAACAATGGAAGCTTCTTCACGTATCCAGGGAATGGAGCATCTGTACGTTCCTTCATCAGAGAGTTTCACTTTGAATATTTTAAGCGAGACGTTTCCTTTAATCAGTTCATCCACAAAGACTCGTGTACGAAAGTGATAAGATGGGTTTTGGTTCTCAAACACCAGCCGTCCATCTTTATGAAGATGGACAACATCTGGGTCCAGACCAGGTTTGATCCAGTTCACAGTCTCAGCGTTAGTATCAACAGCAAATTTAAGCTGACATGGAAGAACAACATCATCACCCAGCATGGCTACAACCTGAGATGGACACACCAGATGAGATTTTCCTGCAAGGTAACATAAGAAAACAGTAGAAGTAGACGATATTTTTGTGTAAATAAAAAAACAAAACAAAACAACAACAACAACAACACAAAAAAGGAGATTCCCTCGGCTGTTTGTTAAAGTCTTGTTTCCTGTCTGGGATCATGTGGACAAAATGATAGATTACATGTTCATTTCGATTGCAGTGGAAATCATATGACATTTCCATACAGCAACAAACATTTTATTAAGTATGCTGGGATGATGAGAATAACGGCATTGTTTTTTCAGTAACTAGTAATCTAACTAATTAATATTTCTATCATTTCACGCACTTACCGTTACTAACAAGAAAATGTGGTGCGGGCCTGTATGAGAAACACAATAAAATTGGGGGATGCCGACTCATGCAACAAAAACCAGTAAGTAGGTGTACAGCATACAGGAGCTTATTATGTACAGGTTGGTAAGCTGTCTTGTGACAACTGACAAACTAAAACAAACGAGCGTGCTGTGTGTGCAACAGCGCGACAAACATTACCTGTCTTTTTATTAACTGCACAAGTAGTGCTGGTCACAGCTGCTGGCTACCTGTGTAAGGCTGTCATGGGTCTGTAGCTCTGTCACCGTTTTAGGGAACATATTTAGTTTTAAAGTAAGTTACAGGACTTACCCTTTTTTCTGGAGGGCTTATATTTCACTAAAAACTCATAAACATAAAAACTAAATATGTAAGTATAAGTATATGCATTATCTAGATATGCTATCTAAGGAGATGAGGAGGAAACCGTGACAAAAGGAGCATACCAGTTGTTGTATTGCAGAGGTATTCAAGTATAAAAACAATAATAAACGCAATTTTTTGGTTATATAATATATATTTCTATCATTAATTTATTATGGATTAGGTGCAAGAGTTTTTAAGTGTGGATAATTAAATAATAGTTTAATGCCATAGCAAATTGCACCTTGTTCTCAGATGGACAGCAAGTGGAGAGTGCTAGATGAGATGAAGAGATGGAAGGAGGAAGAGAGGTGATTCACAGGCAGAGCCTAGTTTATTTTTCTATTTTGTTGCCTTATGGTTCCAAACACTGTCACCAATCTGTGCTCACAACATTATTATCTCACAACACGTGTTTACGTCTTGAATATATCACAAGGACAGAGTCAAGGGGAAGTTAATTTGTCTGTACTCGTGGTTACAGGAAACTTGCTGTAACCTGACACACTGTCTCCTCCTTATTGAAGACAAACAGATGGTTTATAAACTATATGTGAGCATTGTAAAAAGTCACATTGGAAACATTTTTAACACGTCAAAGTGAATCAATGCCTAAAATATAATCATCAGTTAAAGAGAATTATGTAAGACTCAAGAAGAGTTTGGTAGAAACAGATTTTATTTACCTTTGACTAAAACGAAACAGAGGATAAGAATCCACAAGGAAACGGAGTAAGAAGCCCACGATGCACACAGAGGATGGATGAGAACAAAGTCACGGTCTGAACAGTGAAACATCTTGATTTGGTTGGTTTCTGTGTCCTCTTCACACTCAGCCTGCAAAGAGTTAGTAAATTAAATTAAATCTCAACATACAGACTGAAATGTTAATTTTTTGATAAGACCACTTTTTCTTTGATTAAACAATCATACTTGATTTCTACTTAAAATAAACCTCAATAGTCTATAATCTACACAGCTGCTAATGTGACTAAAAGTGATTCTAAATGTTATGGCCCTAGCAGGGCCTCTTCTTGAAATTGCCCTTGTGGGGGTGTGGTCTCTCTCCGCCTCCTCCTCTCTTGCTCCACCCTCCCTGTCACTCTTCTCTCTCCCCAGGACATAGCTGCTGTTCATTGGCCTCATTTACCTGGGCCCAGTCAGCAATCACCTCTCTGAGGTCATATAAGCTGGGGTTGAACTGGATGTGGGAGGGGGTTTTCTCTGGTGTCTCCAGATTGTGTCCTAGGTGTCGGAAGAGATCCTATCATGTGGAGTTGTAGAAGCATGGGGGAATGTTGCTGCTTAATGTGAGTAGTGTGGGCTTGTGGGCCTGAGCAGCAGTAAAGCTACCTGCTGCTAGTAACAGGGTGGGCCTGTGGGCCCCTGGAAGTGCCTCCTCGTGGTGTGTGTCCCATTGTTCAGACGTACTCATGACAGTGATGGAATGAGAACAAGCAGAAAAGGGTGTGAGAGAAACACTAAAAAGCTCTGCATGACAATGTGGTCAGGTGGTTTTTGTCAATAAAACTTGTCAATCAGCAGAAACAATAAGCAACGGCATTCAAAGGATTAAGGAAGCGTTCTACTCAGTATTTCAAACATTTCCAAGTGTCACTTGAGGCTGAGAGTGACACTTGGAAGTGACATCTTCATTTTTACAAAATATGTTTTATGATACTCTGTCCTTTATCAGAATATGCACAACAATAGTTGCCTCAAGGCTCTTTATATTTTAAGGTAAAGAGCCTACAATAACCGGTTTGGGTGAGTGGAGGAAGACAGGACAAAGACACACTATGGAAGAGAGCCAGGGATTAATAATACATAATAATCAGATGCAGAGAGGTGTATATGCACATGGTGGGTGTAAAAGGTGACACTCATTGCATCATGGCAATACCCAATAATGCAATGAGTGTTTCTTTTTGATTCCCCAGCAGGAGTCAGCTGCCCTTTTGTTTTTGAAGCTCGCTCGTTTTTTGTTTGGTTGTTGTGTTCTTTGTTGTTGCAACCTTTTTCTTTTTCTTGTGGTGTTGGAAAAATGGCGTTGCCGGCTTTTTATGTTAAGATTATCTATAATAAAAAATATTTTATTTACTAAAAACCTCTGACTGTTTTCCTTCCATTCCGTTCTGGACCCATTTGTTACCAGTCCCCACACACACCCCTAGACCTTCATCGTGGGAACATTACACTAAATAAAAGCTGTTTACCTTGAAAGCAGAAGAGCGATTTTAAAGACACGACACAGATCAGTACAAGAACATAATCACTGTAGGACGGAGCTTTGACTCTGGTACCAACCTGCAGTTTGTTGTTGAACTGCTCCACCCATGTGACTGCTACTGGGATTTGAGTAAATGTGAGACTGGGTGGTGTCTGCATTTCCTCTTTTATTGCATCAGTTGATGTGCAATGTCATGACAAACTATTTAGTTTAGCAGAGGAAGTCATGACCACTTGATGAGCTTTTATTCCAATTCTGCTTTGTTTAGTTTTTTAGTCTCAAAGGTTTGTGGTTTGTAAAACACTCTTGGGTAATTTAACCCAAATGGCTTTTACTTAGGTGGTTGGGCTGCTGCCCCACGACCCCGGATAAGCAGAAGAAGATGGATGGATAATTAAAAACTGCCTCTTCTTTCAATGAGTAGTGACATCATCCTCACCCATCACATACATATTGTAAAAACAAAAGTTGTAAAACACATCCATTAATTTCAAGCAACCTATTTCAATAATTTTAAAAAACTCCCTTTTAACAGGAAGAAATTTAAGTTTTAGAATTTATATTCAGTGTTAACTGTAACTAGGCTCAACGTTTAAATATCTTATTTTAATAAACAACACTGTCATATGCAAAAATAGGGTGGAAATGTAACACAGTGTTAATTTGGTTATCTGATATTGTGTGATTTTCAGTATGTATGTATATATCTATATTGTGTGTTCAGTTGTAAAATGTTCTTCAATGATTTTGAGTTTTTTTATTGCTATTGGTTTGCGGCTGCTTTGCAACAGTCGACTGTGGTAGTACATCCTAGCGGGAGGGGCTATGAGCTCACATGGCTTGTAGCTGTGCCAGAGAGCAAGCTTGGGTGAGCTAGTGGGGCATATCTCCTTCTGCAGTAGCCTTAAAAAAAGACTATTGTTCGTTCTCCTGCCAGATGCCTCGCTGCTGTGCTGCCTTACTGCTGTGCTGTCTCATTGACGTGCTGTCTCGCTGTTGCCATTAAAGGATTGGCGGCTGCCATTCATTCATCCATCCGGACCTCAATTATTTGGACCGAAGTACTCACAAACACGCCCCCACTCAGTGCCATACACTCTCTTTATTTTGCTGGCCAGCTAACACCATTGTTTTTTTTTTGCATTCACAAAGACTATCCAAAGACATTTTGGTTATTGTCAAATAGACACTCTCTGATTATGGACTGAGGAGGTTGTGGTGTTACAACCCCAGGACTGAGAAAAAAGACTCTTTACATAATATATTCACTTGTCGCCTGGTTAGAAGTGGCCATTGATGAAAATATATTTTTTTTTCTTCTTCTTTTTGTCTTTGTTTACGTTGTATCCCAGGGAAGTTTTAAGTTGTTCAGGTTGAAACACTAGAGTCGGTTAAGTTTCCTTTGATGTATCAGTGTCAAGCTAATGTTTAAGAGGGTAGGTTAAGGACGTATGTGATCCAGTCCATCAGTCCTTTAAAGTGCTGGACACAGATGGTGCCATCAGACCCTAAATAAATTGTCCTCTGCTGTTATCCATATTGCTTCACTCATTCTTTGATGAGTAAACATATTGGTTACAGAAATAGGGTTTGCAAGAGATCATTTTTCCACACATGATCATTCCATTCTTTCTACATCTGCTACTGTGCAGAACAAACCTGATGTCTTAATGATGAATTTAACCAAACACCTCTAAACTTTCAGGATTTTTTTTCTGAATAGTGTTAACTAAAAAAACTAAAAAATCGTGTTAATTGAAGATTTTTACAGTTCAACACAGACAGGTTAATACTCAGTTTAATCTTAGAATTATGTTTTGCAAATTCAGTAAACGTGCTTCATCTTCTGTCATTTCAGACAGCTGGGCTCTTGAGTTTGTGCCAATGAGTCATTTTCAAAGGAGAAACTGAAACAATTCATATGAGTTGACTCCACCCACTCTGTAAATAGCAGACTTATCAGCAGCAGTTTGTGGGGATGTAGGTGTCATGACAGAAAGAAAGTGTTTTATCTTTATTTGGCAAATACAATAAAGAAAGGTGTTTAATGGTGGATCATTAAACACTCACCAGGAACATCGATCAGCTCATCCCAAACTAAACACTAATATCCAAATAATTAGGTTACACTTGTTTTTCTAAAGAAGCATCGGATACAGTGTTCACTTGTTTAAATGATCATCTTTAACTGAGATTACGTTATGATTTTTTATTTTGAAATTAAGCTGATTCATATCAGTGTAACTTAAGCACATGACTAAAACTGAAAGCTCAGAGTTTCTTTTAAGTCACCTTGATGAGACAAAGTCCTGCTTTAAGTGCAGGTCTCTGCATGATTCCAAGAACAGTTCTTTATAAACATAAATACAGGTTTTCTCACACTTTGTTTCTGAGCTTTTAACAACTGCTAAAGACATTTGTCATCTTGTATGTGCTCATGGTTTGACAAAGAAAAAAAAAGACTGATTTTATTCAGTTTATTCAGTAAGATGTAGAAAGAAATTCCAGATAAAAAGAAAAAAACAAGCAAATAAAACAAGACTTACCACAGATAAAGACCACAGACTCTGACACAGTGATCCAAACTGTCGCTGTCAAAGTGAAATGAGACGCTGGAGCCGAGCAGGAAACGAACTGAAACAAGGATTAACGAGTCAGTGCAGGTTTCTGACATTCCTTCATCTATTTATCAGATAAACACTGACCTTGAAGGACACAGCGACAGCTGACCTTGATTGCACCACAACAAACACATTAATGTGTTCTCACTTTCTCAA